ATATATATATATATATATATAGAAAGCATATGTTTTAAAATTCAATAATATATGAGATTTAATTAGTGTTTAATTTATCTGAAATAATAAAAGGAAAATTTGAAATATCAAGTGAGAGAATTTACAAGTAATTTATCATTTAAAATGTTAACGATAAAAAATTCCTTTATATAGATGTTAAATCTATCAACTTCAAAGTAAGAGTGAAGTATCAAAATATCTAGATTTGGGATGAGTAATCATGTTACTGAAAATGGTGTTGGCTCTTCTAAATGCATTTGATTGCTTCTCATTATTGCAAATTACTTGTGTTATCTATGTGACTATGTTAAATAAAATTGCGATAAAAAATTCCTTTATATAGATGTTAAATCTATCAACTTCAAAGTAAGAGTGAAGTATCAAAATATCTAGATTTGGGATGAGTAATCATGTTACTAAAAATGGTGTTGGCTCTTCTAAATGCATTTGATTGCTTCTCATTATTGCAAATTACTTGTGTTATCTATGTGACTATGTTAAATAAAATTGATCGTATTGAACTTAATGACATAGACTTATATAATTTAGCACAAATCATACATTGTTTATTATAAAATGATATAGAGCATTCAATAAAGTTATTAAGTAAAAATACTTGCATTTGCATGATTGAATGGAGTACACTCCCTATAGTACTAGCTACGTAACATACAAATGCACGTGAAATGAAAATGGTTCTGAAAAATGTTAGGTAAAAGAAAATAAAAATAAAAGTACCTTTATTGGTACTATTTATAGAAAATGTTATGACGAAATATGTGTATTACATAAGAATTGATAGATAATCATTTCCAAATTTAAATTTTATTAAATAAATTTATTTTATATTTTATAGCAAGCATGCATGTTGATCAAAACGTCTTGTATGATTATAATTTAGAAGCATTGTGTACTCATCAAGTTGTATATGACTCACTCTATATTTGCAAATGTACACAGATATTATCCAAATAATTAAATGAGTGGATGAAGAAAAAACGTGTACCATAAGCGCAACGCTACGAGAGAAATGTATTTATATTATTTTACTTTAAAAATACATTTGAGGTTTTAGTGGTACTTTCGGTGTATTGGAAAAAAATTAGTAAGTATACAAATTTAAATAACAATTAATTTCTATCTTGTTAATTCGAGCCTCCAAGCTGGATTGTGACAATATTAATCTAACCTGATGATTGATGGCATTCACTAAACTAATATTACATAATAAATTGTGCATCTATTATTATTTATGATACATGCCTTAAAATCTTACCATTTATGCTTTAATAAATAGGAGTTGCTTATTAGATTTGAATTATCAAACTCATTTGTTATAAAACTTTTTTCTTATAACAATTTCTACCTTATTGCTTAATAGTCCATCATCGCAAGGGCAAACTTTTTCCATAATAGTAATTCAATTGCTATTTTTTAGTTTATTTTGTAATTTTTACTCGTATTTCCATTAGGTTTGGGTAGTTTTTGATTTTGTAATGGTTCTTTCAATTTTTCTTCTATTAGTTATTGTTATTGCCTCCATGTTAATTATTGTTAAGATTTCATAATATTATTTAATTTCTTTCACTTGTTTTTACTACTTATAATTACTTGTTTGTGAAATTTTCTCTTACGAGTACAAAAGAAATTTATTTGACCTTGACTTTTGAGCTCGAAAGTTGAGATCAATCATGTCATCGCGTCCTTAGTTGCCAAGTAGTATTGCCTTCTAAACTTGAGATATGTTAAGACCTAACAAGTTTTTAGAAATAGAGGGGCTATCCCAGCTAGGCCATAGCTTGAAAAGATTTTTTATTCTATCATTAGCTTCAAGTTTTAAGAGGGCTAGTTCCCCCAACAAAAATTCTCTAGGCCTATGTAAGAGCTTGAGAATGAAAGGCTTTCCTCTTCAGCTAATGGGCTTGGTGAAATAAGTCAAGTCTGATTTTCCCGAGCAAGTCGAGGACTTCGCTCATGCTCTAACCATTTTGTTTGCTCCATCGGTATAACTCTAATGAATCAAAATTGTTGTTCGAACATTTGTAGTGAACTAAAAGAATTCAACCAAGTGAGTGGTTCTAGTATGTATGCCAAAGAGAGATGCATTTTGCCAATAGCTGGGAAGGAGCTCCCTACAGGCCTAGAGGGTTGATAGTGAATTTTCAATTCATAATCCTTACCTTCAATATTCCTTTTAACTTGGACAAGAATATCTGCTAAGTTGGCCGGCTATTTCTCTTCTCATGGCATGTATTTAATAGTCATCTTCTTAAAATTCATGGCTTTTAACAGCAAGTTTTCCAAGCCCCATAATAAATCCTCTCCTCTGTCTAAAATTCATTGTTGAATCTGTTCATAAATAACTGAGGACTGCTGAGGATGAGCAATTTATCCATTCCAACGCTGAGAACCAAATGGAATTCAATGGGTATAAATTTACACTTAGTTTGGTTGTTTGTGACTTAGAACCTAAGGGCACAGGACCGCTCCATCAACTCTTGTAAGGAACGTGCCTTGCTACAGTGTCAACCAATAGCTCTACTTTCGTGCATTTTCATGATTCTGCTAGGAACTACTGAGATGTCTCTTTCAATAACTATTTCAATAGGGACTTTAGGTGGCAGTATTCTATTGTCCTCTATTCATGAATACTATTGTAAGACAGAACTTATTAGGGTCGATCTTCTCAGAAGGAGAATAAATCTAATCAAGCCACTCAAAACATTCATGCCCCCAGAAATTTCCCTGATGACTAAACGTTGAGGTCCTATTGAATGAAAGGTTTCTCAACTCATCCTATTCACCTAACCCTATGTTCTCTATTAACACCACCTCAACGAGGTCATCAAAGATTTAGACATTCAATTTTGGAATAGAAATGTTAGTACTTAGAAGGGTAAGGTAGGCAGATTCTACTAAATTAAGGAAATGAAAATTATGCATATGCAAGAGAGCACAATGTGTGTGAGAGAGAGAGAGAAAGGGAAAGAGAGAGGTTTGCTATGTCTGGAAGAATATTCCCACCAAGAGGAACCTATAATTTATTCTCTTTTTCTTTTTGGGAGGAGATTCATTGTGCATTCATTTATCAATTTGTACATCTATTTTTCTCCACTGGTATATGTTCGTCTCTTTGGTTATGATTTAAATAGATTTTATGAACTCTTCACAATAGAATCTTTTTCGCAAATAATGATTCGTTTTCTAGGTGAATCTTCAATAACCATTCTTATTTCTTTCATACAAATATCATGTGAATAGCACTTTGCAATGTAGATTTGAGCTTGTTAATCTCATCCTAGCTTTTTTAGATGTCATTTTCTTTATAGGATCTCCTATTCCATCTCAATATACTATGTGAATCACTGTTGGAGATGCTTTCGCCTTCATCGACAATAACCTCTCGTCCATGCAAGATGTATGTGCTTTCGATGTTCAAGGATGTTCTGAAACACCTTAAGGTTGTTGCACTTACACAAGGCCCCTTCCAACATTTATATTCACAAATTCATTTTAGCCAAATTTAACTTCAACTATCCAAACAAGGAAGTTTTTGGAGTTGTGGAACTAATACTGCGATCGAGATTAGGTGCTTCACAGGTGTCAAGTTGGTTATGTCAAGCAAGCTAAGTGGTCAAGTTATCTAGGTTCAACGTAAAAAGAAAGTACTTTTGGCCCATTTGTCCAAACTAGGTCCCATGTTATACAATTCCCCATTTCATGCCCATGCAAATTAGCCTACTTAGTCACACAAGATATTCAGCAATACACACAACTAAGATCATTTTTCGATATAGGGTGAATTATGATGGCCACATTGGACGTTCCATTGATGACTCTTATTTAAATGCAGAGGCCAAATAAAAAAAGAATTTTTTTCAAATACCTAGGAGCCTCTCTTTTATATCCTCTCTCAATATAATCTTCTCACAAATCTCTTATCCGACATAAAGATGTCTATCTTTGGCATTCACAGTAGGCATTGCCTTTGACCAGTGATTTGAGTATAATAGATCATTGATCAGAGCATCATAAATGTAATGGCTATGACAGATTGCTGTTTTGCAGTGTATTGATAGAAATTTATGCAGTTCTTTGTAACTTAATTTGGATTGGGCAAACATTGGCACCAATGCCTATTATTATTATTTTAATGGACATATTCTTCACTGAAAGAGGAGTATTAAGATATGAATGGTTCACAAGAGATGAAGCAATAATTTGATGTTTTAACGCTACAAAAAAAATGTAGATAAATGAGGTCACATAGGTAGCAATGTATAGGTCATTTGCATACTCATGAGCAGATAGTCTAGCATCCCACATACACTAAAGGTGGTGTTAACTACCACACAAATAATTTATCAAGCAAGCATTGCCCATAAGTGGAGAAGACATTGGACTAGATCGGACCGTCTAGTGGGGAACAAACCTTTGTACTCAATCTACATTAATTGCACATCTAGGTCAGACCCCATGTTTTTATTTATAATTTTTCATATATAACACCTCTATCTTCTTAAGAATTCATACATGACCAGAGCACTAAAGCTTGGATGAGTGCAAATCTCTCATACTTACTCGGTTTGTAAGATTTTTGGCTGACACACAACTATTAACATAAAATATGTTGGTTAACTATATACTATACTAATGCATCTACCCCGCAAATTCTCTGGGGAGTATAGAGGGATGCAGCATACAGAACTTCTGAAATAAAATTATAGAATACAAGTCCCATTATCTTTCAATACTGAATGTTTGTGGACAGGTTGAGCTCTTGACAAACCAGGCATATTGCCTTCAAGTTAATATCCATGTTATTCTGAGATCTTAATAAGTAATTGAACTTAAAAGAGAAAACTGCATACCAGAGCTTTTTCAAACTCCCCAGTGCTCACTGTAGGAAACCATTAAAAACGCACAGATCTAAGAACAGGGAGTAAAAAATGCAATGTTTGCGAATACACCTCACTAAATCTTCGACATTTCACCTTTCTTGAAACTCCAAGTAACAAAAAAGCGGTTAAAACAACATATAAAGCAACCTTCAGAAAAAGTTCTATGGGTCTTATTCCAAATTATTCCAAATTAAACCAGACAAAACATAAAAGCAAGCTTACTGACCAGAGGCAGGGGCACCAACGGAAAATTCGAACGGCGGGGAGCAGGCCCACCGGGAAATCTCCCCGGACCTCGAGCGCGGTGGCGGGTGGAAGCAGCGGATGAGCGCTACCATGGCAGTGGATAAAATTTGTGGATAGATTTCCCGGAGCTAAAAAATAACCTTGTGCGGCGGGCCTTTAATGGCCCGAAATTTGCGTAAAATTTAACGAGCAAGCGCACATATGCAATTAATTACGATCGGAGAGGATTCGAATCGTCAATGTTACTGCCATAAATTTGTAGGGTTTTATGGAGCATGAGAGTAGAGAAATTGATTAACCTGAGTGGCAAACAAATTGAATTATTTAATAATAATCATCTGAATTTCTCGAATATCCAAAACAAACCAATCAGATGCACGGACTCAAATTTTGTGTTATCTGAACGCCAAGAGGTTTATTTTACAAGAACCGGATAATGAAGACCTCATACAACATGTGAAATAGGGAAGAAAGAGAATAATTTAATAAAATTAAGGGGCAATTTAGTTGGATTATTTTAGACCCTAAATTATTTCAAATGCAAGAGTTTTATAAATTTGGGTGTTTTTTTGGAATTCAAAATGATGAAAAATATATTTAAGGTGTAAAGTGAAGTAGTTCATTTTGAGTGTAAACTGAACTCCTCAAATTTTGAGTGAAAACCATTTACATCACAAACTTGTTCGACTACCACTGGCCGTTGGCCATCGCCGGCAACCTCCCTCTCCTGGCTGCGCCACCGGCCTCCCTCCACCCCCGCTGACTGCCTGTAAAGACCATTTTTTTTGCTCCAGGTTCGTCCGGACGAAGTTGGATCGTCCGGGACGATCGGTACAGGTTGTATTGAACATTGTGGAAACTGAGCAGTTCGTCTGGACGAAATTTGGATCGTCTGGACGAAAATTCTCCAGAAGACAAGTCGCCGGGGACGTTAATTAATCTCGTCTGGACGAAATTTGTCCAAAGCCAGATCGTCCCGGGACGATCGTCGCGATCGTCCAGGACGATCAGTCTGGATATATAGAAATGAGATATTTTGAAGAGAGAGAAAAGCTCAGGAGAGAGAAAAACGAAGGAAAAAGAAGGAAAAGTGATTTTTGGGCGACTCCGGTCCGTTTTCGTCCGTTACTGTAGTTGAAGAAATTGACTGACTCGAGGTAAGGCACATTCCGCCTTTCTCAATTTTCAGAAATGAGATTTTGACGTGTTTTCTGTTCCGAAAATTGTTTCCGTTAGCGAAATTCGTGTGTTATTTTCTACTGCTTCAAGTTTTACCGCGTAACTTTTGGTTTGTCTTTGAGATGATGATTATGCACGTTTTGAATATTTTCTGGAAGATTTTTACTGAATGCTTTGGGTTGTACGGTGTTTTAAGCGAACTGTAAATTATTAAGATGTTGAAAAATGTTTTGTCAGTTCAATGAAAGTCTTACAATGTTGTTGTGAATGTTCTGTGGTAATTTGGTGAATTTCTGAATCTGTGAGCTTTGTGTAAATTCCTTATACTGCCATTATGCCGCTGAATTTTCGTACGATTTCTGAAATTTCTGAAACAAGATGATTTGAATATTTGATGTGTATGTGCTATGAAAAAGGGAGTTATAAGGGGTTAGAATCCATCGAGATTCTGTAAGTGACAGGGAAAGGAGCTATAAGGGGCCAGAATCTGTTGAGATTCTGTAAGTGTCAGGGAACGGAGAGATAAGGGGCCAGAATCCGCCGAGATTCTGTAAGTGTCGGGAGAATATGAAATCTGATATGTGATATGCTATCTGAAATATGACGTTCGATATCTGAAATCTGTTATGTGACTTATTTGATCTGTTTTACGAAGCATCTGATATATGTACGATTCTATTTGTTCTGTGATTTGAAAGCTTCTATTCTGAACGCTGATTTGACATGACTTCAGTTTCTATATTTGTTGTGGCTTTACGATTGAATAAGCATTTGTTCTATGCTTTTCATACGGATATTTTTGATGTGAGTTTCTGACGATTTTGACTGGTGATTAATGTCTTGCTGAGCTGTTAGCTCATCCTTGTTTTCTATGTGGTTTTCAGGTTCTGGGAAAGGGAAGGAAGTCGTGGATTAGCGGTCCAGAGTCTGATCTGTGATTAGGTATTTTGTACTTTTGATTTTTGTACAGTCATGGCTTATCTGTTCTGTTCTGTTCTTTCCGTCTGAAAGTCATGTATTGTATCTGTATATGATTATTTTGGTGAAAGAGAAAAGATAGATGAACAACGCTATATATGGATGTTTATAGTAGTTCTGTGTTTGTTTTTCTGTCTGTGTTATATTTAGAAGAAAGTTTTGAAGCAAATTCCAAAATTAGATTCTGGATTTGTTGGCTCCGTCGCGACCCGATGCGAGCGGGATTCGTCCCCGGTCGGGTTGGGTCGTGACACTGCCCTCCTCCATTGCCCAACTCTACCGCCACCAACCATAACCACTATTATTATCCACCACTGCCCCGGGCATCACCGCCCCCGGGCATCACCGCCGACCACCACCCCACCACTGCCCACTGCCTCAGGCCGTCGTCAACCGTCACAATCTAAGATTTTACTCTACATTCATTACTTCTAACAAAAAAAAATCATTCATCAGCATTTATTTTACATTCATCCAAACAACTCCAAAGCATTACTTTTATAATGCATTTTTTTTTTAGTTAGCCAAATAGTCTTTAAATTGGTTGATAATAAAAATATATTTTGTATGTAAACTCTTCCATTTACTTAGTCCTAGAATGAGTTATAACTTATAATCTTAACATAGAATATAGTTATTAAGTATTCGAAAGAAATTCGAATATCTATAATATAGAAGTGATAAATACATTAAATTAATGTAGAAAAAATATTTAGATAAAAATATAATTATTATGCATCATACATATGGGCCAAAGAAAAACTTTTCTCTGATTGGTCGATAAGCTACATAATAGCTAAAATTGTGCATAGTTGAATAGTGTATTATGAGAAATTCAAAAAAATAGCATTGTTTGGCAGTACAAAAAGGTCCAATGATGCTTTGGTAAAGCAGTATATTTTCTTTGTTAAATATAGGACTAATATGCATTCTATGTGGTAATTTAATTAAGAGGGATTTACATACATGACACTTAAAATATTAGGATTTATATATTTAACATTTAAAATTCATTATTTATATTATATAACACTCGGTTAACAACATTAACAAATATTGCAATACACTCATTGTAAAAGAGGTGAATTATTGTGTTACTTCGCCTCATGCACTGCCCAAAACCGACCTTCATTAACCAAACTCTTCACGCCTTCGCCTTCATCGAATATCTTTAAAAGCTCAGTTGATCAATGCAGGGGTATGCATAGCTAGAGGCACGCACATAACAAAAAGGCACCGGTGGGTTCATCATATTTGCACAAATATGACAATTGGAAGCATAAATAGGGGCAAAAACAATGCCAGTTGAAGCCATGATCTATAGAGGCAGTGCTAGGTGAGTGCAACAACTAAAAGATGATAAAGAACAGCATGATTGGATGCAACTAGAGTCGTGTAAAGGGCAACTAATTGGTTTTCAAGGGTAGGAGATCCGACTTGAGATTGTAAGCAGAGTTTTTTTATTTTATTTAAATGTTTTGAGTGTTATATATATGTATATAAATAACTTTATGAATTAAATATGTAAATCTCAATGCTTTGAGTGTTTTGTATGTAAAACACCCTCTAATTAAATGTACATTATTTGGGATTTTGAAATGATCTGCAAAGCATGAGAAGAGCTTTTTGAGGACAATTTTTGGAAAGCTTTTTGATTTAAAGTTATGTGCCATAAATAACTTGAAAATTAATAAATTTGCAGAATGGCACGAGGAACTACTATGCACAATTTTAGGTGTGAACATAAGGCTTATAGTTCCCAAAATATCACCCACCAAACATCTGAATTATTTTCTTGAACTAATGTTCATTACTTATATTTGACCATACATGTATTGATGAAATGCAAATAAAACTTCGAGTAACCTAAAAAAAAAATGTCCAAACAATTCTTTATGAGTATTTGATTATTCAAACTTCTCAATCTATGCTATTGAATTGGGTAAACATGAATATATTACGCATCATTTGATTTTAAATATGGCATAAAACGACATGTTTTGAAAAATATGTCTACAACAATAAAAATAAAAACAATACCTCGAGTATTTTAACTTAGGATATCCATGGTTAATTATGGACGGGTAAATGGATTATAAAGCCTAGTGTCTTGAACCGACCTTGAAACCCGAATTAATGATGTTGGAACAAATGGCCGAACGGTTAGTATAGTTCTTTTAATAATATCAAATGCTAATAGACGCACAACTCTCCTTGGTTTGTTGGTTAAGAGTTTGGCTCTGAACTAAGAGGCATTGGGTTTGAGTCTCGTATATGTGTTGTGTGTGTGTTTGCGCGCTACCTCTAATTAAAAAACAAAAAACTTAAAATACTAACATCCAACATATAATAGAAGAGACACTAAAATATATATACTTTTTTAAAATTTGAACCTATAATAAACTAATTTATCTATTACCATTTGATTATCTTCTTCTGTAGACAAATTCTTCTCTTTCATCTATTTAATTCACAGGAGATTCACCTGACATTTAAATTTAATATTTTAAGTTTTAATAACAATCTCAATGGATAAATACTTCTATTATATAACACTTAAACATATATAAAAGCAATCATATTCTTTTGTCAAACTTTTCATTCAACATATACATAAACATTTAATATAAATGTAAATTCTAATTATATTCATTTCATTTAATTGTATTCCTTTTTTATTTCATTTATTCTTTTCCCCTTTTCAGTTATTATATGTGCATCGTATAAATCTGTACTAACGAAGGTTCAACCATTTTTTTTTTCTTTTCAATTTAACCTATTTAGGTATGTTGCATCCCGAAACAATATCATAAAGGAGTGAACTACTACTATATTTTCATTCATGTACATTTTCCTCCTTTTTACACTTTCATTTATATATTTGATTTGTATTATTCATTAAAGCAATTACATTTGAAAAGGAAAAATAAAATTAAAATGACTTACCACTTCTTCGCCGTCAAAAATAAAAACCCAAGAACTCTCTCACCCAATTTCCTTCATTTACCTTTAATTAAAACATTGATTTCTTCATAGGTTAAAATTACATAATAATTTGCATAGAAATGAAGAATTTGACAAATAAACCTTTTTTCTTTTTCTTCCTCTCGGTCATCAATATCCTCGAAACTTTTATCTTTCTTTTTTGTTCTCGTTCGGCTTAATTGGATGGAGCCAATAGAGTTATCCTTCACGAGGAGTCACATATTTTCTCTTAATTATAGTCACATTCATTCACTCGCTCACGTAGTTCGGTGTTCGTCTACTTGCCCATGCTTGTCCGCATAATCGCCTGTTCTCCCACTCTATAGTCTGCTTAAGTCAGGGTTCTGATTTGGTTGAACCGAACCAGCCGGTTCTTATATCCAACAAATTACTTGTTTATCTTTACTCAATAGACATAATGTTTAATAGAGGGTCAACAAAGATGAGCAAAGGCAACATTTTTTGTTTTACTATGATTAAGATTTTCAACAAAAATAAGGGTATGCAATTGCTAAATTTTAAAATTATGATGAAACATGCGAGGAATACAAAATAGGGTTCTCTTAAATAAATGTTTATCCTCAATAAAATAATCCAAGTTTAATTAAGCAATAGTTTTTGGAGCATGATAAAAAATGAAATGAAATGTAGGATAAAAGAGGCACTCGTTTACATTCTCATAAAACCAAGAATATTAATAGAGATGATATAGATGGTAGAACAGATAGATTGAAGCTATTTAATTGTCAACGATGATTATATGTTGAACAATAAAGGCATGTTCTTACAATAAAATGACACATTTCTTTACAATAAAGGCATGTTCTTACGGTACGTACATAGTGATGTTTATCTTGACAGTTTATTACAAGTTTAATTTTGAATACACACTCGACAAAAATAAAAAATTTTTTATAAGTTTACTCTGTAGTAAATACATTGTAAATAAACAGTAATTCATAATTGATACGCAGAGCAGTAAATATGAAGTAAATATGTAATTAATACACAATAAGTATACAATAAATATACAGTAAATACACAGTGAAAATTACTAAATACTCAATTGATATATATTAAATATGCAGTAAAGTTATCTTGATAGCTTATCCTGAAAGTTTATCAAAAATAGTTTTCCCAACAAGTTCAATTCGAAATACACATTCGAATACCATGGATACACAATAATTAATACACAGTAAATACGCAGTTGATTTATAATAAATGCACAATAAATATGATGTAAATATGCAGTAAATATAAAGTAAATACACAATTGATACACATTAAATATATAATAAAGTTATCTTGACAATTTATCAAAAATAGTTTTTTGAACTTGTTCAATTCTAAATGCACATTTGATGTACTATCGATACATAGTAAATACGTAAAAAATATACAAAAAATATCCAGTAAATATACAGGGAACTTACTTGACACTATAAAAAAAAGTATTCCATACATAATGAGAACAAATGTTCAATAATTTGATAATGAACTAAAACAACTCATTTTATTGCAATGAATAAATAATGCATGAACTAAAATAACTCTTGTTAAACTAATTTTGATTTAATAATTGCAAATAAATTTAATACAATTGTTCATTTGAAGCAATAATATCCATCATCATCCTCGTGTACTTAAGCCCCAGCTGAGTGGTATTTGCCCCCTTTATGAATACATCATTGTAGCATTCGGGCCGGGCGTGCTTAAGAAATTTATCTATCTTGAAGGTAAAGACATTTATGTTGTATTTGTCTTCACGATAGGTTTCTTTGTTAAAAAAATTAAGCCCAACAAAATATATATTATTTCATAGTATATAATGAAAAGCAATTGGTAGTAAGTTAAATCTTACTCTTAGGCTTCTTATTCTTTTTCTAATGGCCCTTCAGCCTTACAGTAGAGATACCTTTATTCCTACACTTTACTGGATCTTTGAATTTTGCAATGCCCCACCCAGTGTATTGTCTAGAAACTTATTGTTATTTCTCTTGCCATTAAGAATCAAGTCGATATTTTTGATCATGTCTTCCATTGCAGCCAACATGTATTGTTCAACCTCCCGTGGGCATATCATCTACTCGAACAATGTAACGTCCTCCTCCAAATCAGTCACCATCTCCACTGGCTTTTTCTTTCTTAAGGGGTATCAAAAGTTTATTTAGCTAAATTCTTAAATATTGAGAAGCTTTCACAGTTTTTTCATTAAATAGAAACGCCAATTAATTTTTTTTTTCTAAATTCGAACGGATGATGAAGACTTTTTTTGAAAAAAATAAAAAAAGCCTATGGAACGGGTCAATCGGGCTGACATGACAAAAATAAAGTACAAAATGTATATTTAATATCCATGTGTCCGATCCACATGTCACGATTTCATTGGAGTCCGAATACAGAGCTATCTCCGAACTCCACAAATAATAATTTATCATATTAGTCATGTGTCAAAATTTATTTGGATTCCACAAAACTCTATGTAATTTCTATGCCAAAGGGAGTTTCGGTCAATTACTATTACTTTGCACGGACCTCAGCACAGATCCATGGTTAGTAAGGTATTATTATTTTTGTAATTGTATTTGTTCCTTATGCGTAAGATTTTAAACTCGACGAAGGGTGTGGTAAGAGAGGTACAGATACGCCGGCGATAGCACGACTCAAAAGGGCTGTCGGCGGCGAACGTAGAGAGGTGTACGAAAGGAGGCGGGCACGAGTGAGAGCCCCCAAGATACAGAAGAGAGAGAGAGAGAGAGAGAGAGAGAGAGAGAGAGAGAGAGAGAGAGAGAAGGGGAGAGATGTCGGACTTGGACCGGCAGATAGAGCAGCTAAAGCGGTGCGAGCCGCTGAAGGAGTCGGAAGTGAAGGCTCTCTGCCTTAAGGCCATGGAGATCCTTGTGGAGGAGAGCAACGTCCAGCGAGTCGACGCCCCTGTAACTGTAAGATAACCCTATGCAGTACACTTTCATTTTCTACTTTAGCTGATCTATTTTGTTCTTCTCTTAGAGGATGCCGCCTTTGATTGGCGTGGTCGTAATAAGTGTAATAGGTACATTAGGATCGATTAAGAGCGAGTTTGCGAGTCATTACAGGTCGGAGTAGTTTAATGAGACGTTTAATGCTTACAAAGTAATTATTTGATGTTTAATGAACCATTACGGGCTTATAATTCCATACATATTCCCTCTTAGAGAGCGGTAGGGTATGCAAATGAATAACTTGTGCCATGAATCTTTTAACTTCTCCCCTACTGAATTTATGGAGTTGTGAGCACCCTCAAATTGCTCTTCTCTTTCCTAATCCGCTTATAGATTTTTACGCAAGCTTGAAATTGCCTAGTTTTCTGGTTATCATCTTCATTTTACTTTTATGGGTTAAAATAACGGTGCTCTCATTGAGCCTCGCCACTGACCGAGTGTCTGTTTCTAATCATGCTAACTCGCTATGCCCAATCTTTCACTAAATAACGAAATCTCACCCATGCCAATGACCCAACTGCAAACCAAAATTTTCATATATAGTGCAACGTTAGCATCACTTGATTCGCCATCTTCTTAGACTTATTGACTGCATCCATAGCTGGTCTCGATCTCATCTAACCTTCCACCTTCTTCTCACCCATAACAATGTTACGGTGTAATTGCTATGGTTGTATTAAGAGTGAGTGCTAGAAGGATTCCTGGTAAATTATAGATTTTTAGTGCTCATTAGATAATTATTAGGTGTTCAATGAGTCATTAGGGCCTTGTAATTCTATAAATACTTCTTCTTAGGGAGAAGTAGGGAATGCAAATGGATAAAGTAAGCAATGGCTCTCCTATTTTATTCTAATGAATTTTTTGGAGTTGTTTGCATCCTCGAATTATCCTTCTCTTCCTCCCTGCTCCTTTTTTAGAGTTTTAGGCAAGCTCAAAGTTGCCTAATTATTGTATTATTTGCATCAATTTATTATTAGGTTTGTTGTAAGCGTGCTACCCTTTTCTCCTAGCATGTAATCTACAACTATGTTTAGTTGATTTTTGATTTATTTTAGTCTCATTTTGCTTTGATTTTGTCATTCTTGTAAGCATTCTGGAGCCCTTTGATTTGAAATGCTAGATTTCTCTTGCCTTTTTGGTAAAGGTTTTTCCTTTTGGTCTAGCTCATTCTATATTGCATGATGTGTGGGTTTTTACATCATGAGTGTGTGATCAACTAGCGTTTGTAGTACACCTTTAAAAATTTAGAAGGTCAAAATAGAAAATTTGGCATCAAGTGAAACATTCAAACCTAAATAGTTTTGTTTGAGACTTAGGGGCTATTTGTATTGTTGCAACGTTTTGTAAAGGTGGTTGTGGAGTTGTTGTTGAGAAAGTAACCTTTTTAAAAGTTGCTACGAATATTTTTAAATATGGTCTTTTAAAAAAATTGAACAATTATTTTCTTAAAGCTATTACACATTAACGACTCTGGTTGTAAAAATTTCTAAAAAAAAAGTTAAGAAAGCAACAATAAAATAGTAGCCAAGTATAACTATAGTTGCGGTTTGAAAAGCAAAACAACGAGAAAGCTGTACCAAACACAGTTGTAATGTCATGTTATTAACTGACATCATGTCACAACCCGACCCCGCATAACTCACATACAGAATGAGTTGTATTGTGTTAGAGCGTGGCAAGAAACAAATTTCAGGACCTAATTGGAGAGCATTATATAAATTCCAAATAATTTACGAACTACAGAGCCATTAAAACATCAATTAAACTTACAAATACTCGTTGTCAAAATCTTTTCATTCAACTTAGACATATTTATAATCAAAATAATTATATACAAATAGTACATGACACAGATTGTACATAACATAAAAAAAAGATACGACTGAAAGAAATTTGTCTAACATATTTATAAAGACTATGACTCAGATCCTGCAATTTTTCTCTACTTAACTTGCCCTTTCCTCTTATCTTGACCCGAAACAGATGCAGAAAGTTGGCATGAGTAATCATAGCTCAACATATTACATTTAACTTACTCAAGTCCTTAATAATTATTGCTACAAATAATAAAGCAGAGATAATAAGATAAAATAAATTCATCCAAATAGAGGTCCAACCAAATTACTCATAATATTGTAACAAGTGTTCACAGAACAACAAACAATACCTTTAAAGCTCCAATCATAAGTAGTAGAATTGTAGAGAAGTAGAGCAATAGTAAAAAAATATTAAAACATAACAATAAGCACTTCATATTCATTTCTCAGAACAAAATATCTTCCTCAAGTTTTTATACCTCCCAACAGATATCAGAATTCAGAATTATAACCCTCACGACTCCCTGCGCTAACATATCATATAACATGCCCTTATGACTCTTAATGAATGGCATTACAAATATTCACAGAATTAGACTCTTATGACATCCAATAAACATCATATCAAATTCTCTGATAATCATTGGGGCATCAAAATGGGTTTTCAGGTTGGGTTCGGGTCAAACTCAGAATTGACCCAGGTTCAAACGGGTTGACCTGAACCCAACCCGTTGGGTTACCAAGTTGACCTGACCTGACCCGCGAACCCGGAATAAAACTAGCAAGCAAGTTTAGCCTGCGTGGGGTGCGGGAGAATGCCGAGTGCGGCTCGCGCATGGTGTGGGAGAGGGTCTGGGTGCGGAGTTCAGATGTGAGTGTGGGAGGGCTTGCTATGGTGCGGAGCGCTGCAGGCGGGCGCAAGCACGGGATCTGTTGCATGTAAGGTTTTCTTGTCATTCGGGTTGATTTTGGGTTTTCGGGTCAACCCAAACCAACCCGATTTTATAAACTGGTCAGAAAATGAAATCCAAACTTGACCCGCCTGGCAAACGAGTTGACTCAAACCCGAAATTTTTTGGGTTGGGTCCGAGTCGAGTTTCAAATCGGGTCAAGTATTGACACCCCTATCTAATCATCAAAACTTCTCTAGATTCACTCATTTTAAGAATATAAACATAGAAATAAATGCATTTTCATGTATAATATACATTGTCAGAATTTATTTTAGCTATTAATTAATCAGAATTTTGGTGAAGAATTACACACAAATTTGATATTTTTTAGAAATTTAAATTACCACACATTATTCATAGCTACATTTCGAAGATTTTATTATATTACAGTATTATTTATAGGTATCAGAATAATTTTCAAAATCTTAAAAAATACATTTCTAAAAGTATCCGATGAAAATTTGTAATAAAAATATTAAAATGTGCATAATATTGACAACAATGACATACCAAAAGTTATGCTGTAGAAGTTTACCTAGTGAGCAGATCTACCTAGTTTTGCGTTAAAATTTCAATTAAAACATGAAAAAAACCCAGAAAACTTTGAACTATTAAAAATTAAGATAGGCAAAACATAACTTGCTTCAATCTGGACAATTTTCTAAACTATCGTGACAGATGAAATTGTCTTGAAGCTAATCGAAATGTACTTTCTCTCTCTAGAATTGTTCCTTTCTCTCTATAGCCGCCTTAGGAAATAAATTTGATTTGGTAAGTGAAAAATTTAGTGGAAATCGATATTTATAAACTATTTAATGCAATCGTCGTGGTGCCTAGAGACTTAGTGTTGCAACACTCCCCTTAAAAATCACAGCCAAATAGAGAAGATAGTGCCGCAATGCTCCAAAGCAAAATTAGCTCCGCAGCGTCGCAACATTCTAGTAAATGACTAAAATGATAGAGAGCTCATCCTTGTAGCACCACGATGTTTCTAAGGGAAAATTTCATAATTGTGTTTTTACACACATGCTCTTGGGGTGCGCTCTAGAACAAAATTCATGAATTCATCTACATAGAATATTCTTAAACACGTGCATAATGAAAGTGTAGAAAATTCATACATAGAACAAACTAGGTCAGATCCAGACCAATTCAGAGCATTGCAACACTGCGTGTGACACATCAATTGCTTGGTTCATTGAAAATTTTAAATAATAATTTCATAACTTTCTTTTATGTCTAATTTTTCAAAGGTCATAAAATGACTGACATACAAACATCAGACTATTTAATTGCTTAATCAAAATACAATAAAAGGGTCATATTCACCATTTTCTTTAGATAATATTATATTACTTAAGATAAATTGATTAAGTAACTTTTTCATCGGCTAACAAGGTACTCAAATCCCTCACGGTACCCACCATTGTCCTCTCTTGTGTCTAGGGGTGTCAATATTTGACAAGACCTGAAACCCGACTCGAAAAATTTCGGGTCCAAGTTAACCCGTTTATCAGACGGGTTGGGGTTAGGTTTAGAAATGTGACACATTTCTAAAATCGGGTCGGGTTCGGGTTGACCTGGAAACATGAAAACAACCCGAAATTGACTCGACCCGGTAGTCTCTCCTAGCCTTCTGCCATTTATCACGCATGACGCGACACACTGAGTCTCGACCTTCTCGTCTAGCGTAGTCCCTGCCTCCCTAACTCTCCTTGGCCTGCTTGCTTTAGGTCGCATTCCTCTCTGCGGCTGGCACTCGAGGAACCACGGACCCACGCGACAGACCTTCAGGCCCTTTACGGCTTCACCCGTTCACCGCTCAAGCCAGTCACGCGACAGTCAATAGACGACACGCGACAGTCCGCTCATGCGGCAGTTAGCTCGCCAGACGCCTGCGCCGGCCTCGCCTAATGTGACAAGCGACATATTGACAATTGGCACGCGACTCGCTAGTTGCTGTTCGAATTTGAAACAAAGCTCGCTTTCACGCAGGCTGTGGTTGCTCGCCAAACCAGTTCAAATAAAGCGGGTTGGAGGTCGTGTCAGGTCAACCAGGTAACTCGAGTGGGTCGGTTTGGGTTGGAAAATTTGTCCCGTTTGTAAAACTGGGTCGGGTTAGGGTTAACCCGTTTAAACATAGGTCAATTCGGGTTCGATCCAAACCTGACCTGCGGACCCGTTTTGACACCCCTACCTGTGTTAGAGCAAAGAATTGCTCATAGAAGCCCTATCCCTTGCTAGTTCGAAAACGTTCCAGCAAGAAGCCATTAAACTCCCTTTAGGTCGGTATGAGTTGCCTCATATCCCTCCAAGGGTACAATGCCAATGCTTTCCCCTCCAAGTATAGCCCGACTGCTGTCAGGCTCTTCTCCTCCGTCAACCCATTTACGACAGAGTATCTTTTCACCCTGTAGATTTACCCATGTGCATCATCTCCCTAAAAAATAGGCATCTTCAGCCTCCTCACCCTTGGATCTCTTGTGTTCGTCTTGTTTCCTCCATAACCTCCCATTCCCCAAAAGGGTGAGGTTCCCCCAAGTTTCTCGATCATCCCTTCAACGCTTGTACCCAAACCCTTCGTCAACATCCCCTCTCCTCCTTTCAAATTCAGCACCCCTCTGGTCATAATCAACCCCACTCCTTTCATATTCAGCACCTCTTTGCTCATACCCAATCCTCTCACGCTTCTCCCCATACCGTCTACCTGTTTCCTCCCAAGGAATAGGCTCTAGGGGTGGCATCCCTCCAAAATCTCCACCTCCTATTCTTCCCCTCTCCTTATTGAATTAGGGTTTCCCCCACTCACTTTGGCCGTCGGTGGCTCCCCTCACCTCCGACTATACCGTTTTGGTTTGGACCTAGAGCATCTTCCTCATCATCTCCTCCAGGATGACAAACTTCCCATCAATCTTCTCATGGATGGCTGAAATTTGAATTTCAAAATTTGAAATTCTTTCTTCGAAATCATATTTCAATTGTTTGATCTCACTTTCCAACACTTCTACCTTCCTTTCTGCCACGGGTACCCTTATCTTGGCTTTGATACGAATTTGATACATTGTGGAAGAGAAAAAATAGCAAGTAAAAGAGAGGAAAAAACATAGGAACACCAAGATAGGGCTGATTTTTGGATCATCTCTTCAATAATAAAGCAAGATATAATTGATCTACTATTTGAGATGTAGATCCATTCTCCTACAAACCCTAGACGCTACTAGGAACTCACAACAACACTAGGAAAATAAAACTCAATAATAACGTCCTCTAAACTCTAGACAACTTTCCTTAAATAGCCGTAGAACACAATAGCATAAATAGAACATTTCTAATAAGCATAAACATAATTTAGAAAAACTTCTTAAAAAATTAGGCCCTTCCTAATCAATCTAAACATAATTTATGAAACATTCATAATTAATTAGCAGCATAAAGATCTTCATAATTCTTTTCCTTCCTTACATAGTGAATATTAACTTACCTGGGCTCCACAAGGGGGGCTGAAACCCCCTCTCTGTTGCTGCTCTGGTTCCCGCTTAGCTGTTTTGCTCGGTTCGGCCAGTCTGGGCCGGCTGGGTCCTGCCCTCCTCTGGCGTAACAAAATGCTATGAAGATATGGACTCTAACAATGTAATTCAAAATCTTCATGAAAAAGCGCTCCTATTGCTCTGATAAGGGATGTGAAAATGAACCCAACACCCAATAGTCAAATTTATTTCTCATTCAAACTATTCTTCTTTCCACAAAATCTTTCTCATTAAGATAAATAATATTAAGAGTCTTAGAATTATATAGGAAATACTCGAGAATAGAGAATGAAAAAAAGCCATCATTGAGCAAATGAGAGCCTTAAAAGAAAACCAGAAATTTGAAGGTGGTAAGCTTACAAAAAAAAGTTTTATGCAAGTGGTTATAGATTGTCAAATACAATGCAAATGGGACACTTGAAAGGCATAATATTAGACTCTTTGCAAAAGGCTACACTCAGACTTACTAAATTGATAATGGAGAAATTTTTGTACCAATCTCAAAACTAAATACCTTTGAAATAGTTATATCCCTAGGAGCCAAGCCTAATTGATTCTTAAAATAGTTAGATGTAAAAAGTGCATTTCAACATGATAAACTAGAAAAAGGAGCCATCGGGAATCCTATTCCGTAGGATGTTTTCATGGATTGTAAGCTGTAGTTATTCCCTCATTCTCATAGACTTTGTATGTATTTTCATAGTAGTTAGACCAAAAAGTTGATGTGTAATTAGTTGCTTTTAAAGGAAAAACTAATTACTATAACATAGAATCCTGTTATTTATGATATTTTCTCTTCATTTTCTACTCTTCTACAAGATATTCTCTCCTTGCAAGATGGTCCGGTGGACTTAGATGGTCAACCTATTGTTTCCTACCTGATTCATACTCACCCAGGTAGTACTCCCTCTTGCTAGCATCCTACCCATGTTTCTTTGTTCCCATTGTAGGTGCTGCTATCCGTAGTTGTATATGCTTACTATTGTCGCAGTTGTTCATTTTTATCATTTTCACTGAAGTAATAGACCTTTGTTTAGGCTTTCCTTTTTTTTCATCTCACTTAACTATGTTAAAGTTATCTATCAATCTGTTTTCTTGGTCATGAAAATTTGATTCTGGCTCATTTATAATCGACAAAAAATGTGAACAAATACAAATAGCATTGCATGCTTCCAGCAATTTTGATATTAGTCAATCTTGGTGATCAGCTTACCTTGATTTTGTGTGGTTGTGATGAGCATGCAAAGTGTTACTAATATTATCTTATTAGTTCCTAGGGTAATTCTCTACATTGTACGCTTTTCATGATGATTTCTAAGATTGGTTGATCTGCCTTCGTAGAAATATGTGATCAACTAAGTACACTAATTATCATCTTTCTTCATCTATGAACGTTTCATTTTGTTTTCTCAATCCTTCTAGTTTATATAAATTTATATTGTTTGTTTACTCACACCAGACAACTTCATAATCTTACCCTTTATAGTATTTTTTTTTTGTTCTGGTGCAGCAGGATTGAGAGATGTAACAGTTTGGCAACCAAAATTAATCTGCTCTATGTCCAGTTAATTTAAAATTGTAAATTGATAAATTCCCATTTTATTATATTTTGAAGTTTGTTTGTTACGGTTTTCATTTCATGATTGTATTTTGACGCTTAGCCACCTTCCATGACCTGGATGATTATTGGCATGATGCATTCCCCTGAAACTTTAGTTCCTTGTACGTTTTGCTCCGAGATGAAGGCAACGTTGCATGTTGCTTATTTGTGAAATGTACTTTCAGCTACTAGAGCACTTTATTATAGATTCTTTTAATCTTTTGCCTAAATATTTTATATAGCATTAAGGTCACTATCATTGTGGTTGATGATTGCATGTTCAATTTAATCTAACTTAGATTAACCAGAAGGCTCAGTAAGGTTCAAAGCTTTGGTTTTCATAGGTATCAGGAATAGCAATTCTGTGTATGCGTGAGAACTAGTAGTAGGATGAATGTATGTTCTTTAGATTCTGTTTTATGAGAGTTGTATAGGTGGAATTTTCTTCTATTTATTATAAAGATATTTTGTTTGTTATTTTCAGTTTTGAATGACTAAACCTCCCATTTTGTGGTTTAGGTGTTATATAGTTTGGAAATGTTGGGCTTTAGTCCTCTGCTAAGTGGATTTTAAGTTCTGTAAGGTACAACTGCTCTCAAGCTGTGTTTTAAGTAGGATGGAACTTAAGACAAAGTTGTCACCGTTTCTCTCTTGTTTTAATACATAGCCTACTCTCTCTTCCACCATATGTCTACCACCATTTTCTTAAACGTTCACACACATAAACACACAAAAATAAAGGGAAATAAAAAATCACATTTTATCACATTCTCATTTACACCTACAGGTTAATCTCATGCATTCAAGTATAATTTCTTTGATTTAATTCTTTATAGAATAACCATTGAAATTTTCTTCCATTCTGGATGAAGGAAATAGAGCAACTTTAGTTATAAACGAATTGAGGAGATTAGAGATTGTTATGTTCCAAATAGCGCTTATAAAAAGAAGCATGACGAGTAATGAGAAGAAAAGGGTATAATGGGTGTGTGAGTATGCAGCTTTACATCTTTAGCTAAGTGTTTTAGTGATTGTATTCTTTGAGCCTCTAGGCCAAAATGACAACAAACCAATAGATGCACCCTAGCTAATTCCTTAATTTCTTTGTCCAAATAATTGTACTATTCAAGTATTTGTAAAACCGTTAGAATGTTTCTCATATCCTGAGTTATTTCTTTGCTTTGATTTAGATTTGTGGAGATATTCACGGGCAGTTCTATGACATGAATGAATTATTTAAAGTTGGTGGTGACTGTCCAAAGACAAATTACTTGTTTTTAGGTGATTTTGTTGATCGAGGGTTTTATTCTGTTGAAACATTTCTACTTCTACTAGCCCTGAAGGTAAGTAATACTGACTTTGAAAGTTTTCTTTTTTTGAGTAGTTGCATATGTAAATGTAATACATTATCTATTTTTTGTTTTTCCATTTTAGATTATTAAGGCTTGGCTTCTTGATATGTGATTTCCCATATGGATTCTATATGTTTAAGTTTTTTAGTTCCACTTTATTTCTGCGACTTGCACCCTATGTGGAATGTAATCCGCAAATTTAGAGGTTTACTTGTGCGCTTCTTCAGGTTCGTTCCCTATAGTTAATGAATGCGAGCCAATTATTTTCTTATTAGGGAAATGAGGGGACTCTTGGATTGGCTAGCTATTATTTTCAGGAATCTTACAAAAATGAATCTGTAATCCTTGTCCATTTGACTAATGTCTTATAAGTAATTTCTATTACTGGAATTTAACTAATCAAGTGGCATTCAATCAAAGTTGTTAACGATGAATCATTAGCATTTCCACCAAACATGGAACGGATATCAAGAAAGAATGCTCATAGTAGTTCAGGTTTCTATTTGAAGTTTGTATATTAAGATAAAGCTACCACATTATGTTTACTTTTTCTAATCTTACATGTTATGATTGGCAATGGAGAGTTCGTGAATCAATGAACAGACATGGTAATCACACACCCTTTTATGCGCTGGCTATTTTTGGACTGCAGGAATTCTGCAGTTTCTTTTGTGTTGTACAAACATACAGGAAAGGTTGCATGTTGAGATGCCCAAATAGATAAACCCTACATTTTGTTATACTTTCTACTGGTCGTGATCTTTTTGTGATTCCACACGGAACCATAAATTAGATTATTCATTAAAGAGCATGAATTGTTAAGTGACAGTGGTTGTACATGAACAAACAAGAGTTATTTCTCTAAATATTCTACAAACCTTTATCCAATTTCATATGGATTGCAAAAGCTTATACCATGAAAGGGTAAGATCTTCTATAGTCTAAAGTGATCATTTTGAAAGTATTCAAATCTTTTGTTTAATAAGCTTTCAATCATTAAATAATGGTAATTCAGTATACAAGCATGCTGATGTACAATAGCATAAACTGTTCGGATTTTGCATTTGTATTGGTGAGTATAACAAAATTGTTTGAGCAAGTGTTTGCTAAGCCTCAATTGGAGTCAGCCAAGTCATAGACCATTCAAATGAACATTAGATAAATAGGATGGCTTGCTGCCCAAATTATCAAGAATCTTCTTCCTGATAAAATCCAAATAAACAAGCTTATTAAGATGAATATTAAGTCAAAGTGTTCACCCAAGCCCACAGGAAATCAGTCAAACATAATTTACTAAAAATATCATGGTTGGCTAAATCCAAACAAAGTTGGTCTTGATTGAACCTATTTAACCCATCAGATCCAAACCAGGCTTATCCTAACTCGTGCCAAATGATTTTGTTGGACTAAATCTTTGTAGTCTGATCATGGTTCAACTCTAATGGCTTCAATTTATTCTAACTATCCCTTCTTTCTCGATTGAAACTAAATTTGTATGGTAGGCTGAGATAAAGTTGGTTTGGTTCCTATGCAACCTAGATGGCTGAAGGAAACCCTTAAACACATGCTTAAACCTGGTTTGAAAGCTGTGTGAAGGTAATGGAGTTTTCAAAATTTATAGTCCGGCACATGATTACTCTAAATATGCCAAAGGCAGAAGTTTCGACGTCCATTGCACGACATTCAAAGCTGCAAACTCTTTTCAATGCATGATAAATCATGAAAAAGTTCATAAATATGCAGTATTGCTAAGGTATGACAATGCTCATAAATTTGCATTATCTAAATGGCCCAATATCCTAAACACCATAACTATGGCTAATGCTCTCTTCTTACAAATTATAAATTTCCCTCACTTTTGCTAAGGTTATTGAATAAAGGCTATGTCGAAGTATCGGCCCTTTGATGTGCCTAGCATGATTCAACCTACATGCGGTAAATATATCCAAGGCTCCTAATGTCTTTTGATGTGGCTAAAGCCTTTATGAATAGTACATATATTTCACAAGTGGGTTAAGGTCCAAAAGGAGATAAAATTTTATTTAATTTTTGGTTTGTTTCAATCATATAATTGCTTGCTTGTCATGAATTTGTTCTCCTTCAGACTAATTGCATTTGCTTTGACAAGATAGTTGCATTTATAGTTTTATGAGCATTGCATAGATTTTTATTTCTGCATTGCATAGCATCTCAAAGTTTTAGATACCCCTAGGAAATCATAGAAGCTAGAGCATGTCGGATTGGGACCAACTAGGCATGCCCTCTACTGTTTTTGAATTTCCATCTATCATCATTTTTTTGTTATTCTCGTTCCACACATTTGGTGCTTGTGATGAAAAAGTTCTATAGTGTATCTTATGACGCATGTTTCTTATACAGATGATTTTAGTGCTAATTGTATATGTATGAGATTACTCTTTATGTTCTTTCTGAGTAATTTTAGCAACTAAAAATAGGTGGGTGCAATGGTTTGATCATAGATCATTTATGTTTGATTACTTGGGTAATTTAACAATCTTGAACATCATTTGTGAAGTTGATAAGTAAAGAAACAATCTCTTGACATATTTATAATCACGAATATGCTCATTTATTGTTCAACAACTAGCTTGATAGAATTCTTGTTTAATATCTCTTGTTGCTTTTTTTAAATGAGTCACCTAATATTTTATAAAGCTCTTTGAAAGATTAGATTCAACTCGAAGGTTAATAGAATAATAAATGAGCTAGAAGAAGATGTTAGAACTAAAGTCTTGTTTGAGTTCGGTTATAACCAACTAAAAAGTAAATTAACAAGTTTTATCTGAGAAATATTTGGCTTAGCTCTATTTGTTTTATTCCCATAGCTATGATATGAATATTTAGGACCCTCCACATGAATTCTCTTTTTCATCTATTTAGCCTAAATGAGATTTTTCTAAAAATAGTTATCAATTCAAGGATGAGTTAAACAATTTAGTGGCTAAATATATTTTAAATAATATTAATTCAAATTTTAAAATATAATATGCATGCTAGTCTTTGTAAGTAAATCAATAGAATGATGTTTTTCATTAAAAAATAACAAAATGCATTCGTAAGATTGATAACATAAAGAACAATTAAATTTATTTATCATTTTCATAGCTTATCTTATAATATATTCGTCACAGAAGTCACCATCTAAATGTGTTCCATTAAAGGCATACCATCTTATAATATTTTTCAAATCTAACCTCAAAGGATAGGTAAACCATTTTCATTTCTATTTATGTGCATGGATACATTATGTCCCAACCAATACCATAAGATGATTAATTTTATTCGTGCATTCACTCCCCTATAACATATTCATTTACATTCCTCCCTATAACATATTCATTTACATTCCTCTTGTAATGCATTTACTTTTTTTGTTCTCATATCATAACTTATCATTTGATATTCAATTATGAAGGCACGCTAAAATCAGTATAAGGATTTTATTAAGTGAGAAAGAAAAATCAATTTGGTATTAATTATGATGTTTTTGATTGCATATAAGAAAGAATAAAATTCATTGCATTTGATTTAAAGGAGAAGAAAAATAACTAATTTAAAATAGAAACATAATCGCCCAGCATTCTTTTAGAAGCTTTGTTTATGCTTAAATTTTACATGTTGCTTCATTTATTTGTGATACCGATATAACATAAGTTTTTTTGTTGATTCCTATATTAATTTTAATACCCTTGACCTAGCGAGTTAGTTATGTTTAAATTTTTTTGAAATTCTATTAATTCAAACATATTAATATTTTAAATTGTTATTTATTTCACATATTAAATTTTTATCTTCAATACTTTACTAAACAAAACAATATTTCTAACAATAGTATTTATAATATACTTATTCAATCTAGATCTTTCTTCTCATTATTTTATCTAAATATGTCGATTATAGTCAATTTTAATATTTCATTACAATCATAATTAACTTATTGTTTTATTCAATATTATTAAATTATGACTTCAATTATTTCAAAAATAATTTTTATGACATAAATATACATATTTAAACTAATTTAATATAATTTATTAGTGTTAAATTATTGCATTATCAAATTTTAGGGCAAAATTTTTCTGAAGTATCCTAATTTGCATATATATATATATTCTCCCTCTTTTTGTCCGCTACCTCTTCCTCTTCTTCTTCTTAGAAACCTTTGGAAATTCTAAGAATATTCTTAAGCCCAAAATTTTAGATTTAGGAAATATATAGCGAGCAAGGAAACTTACTTCTTAGTTTAAGGGAAAAGAAAATGAAGAAAATCTTTAGCCTGTGACGTCAAAATCATCATCTTTCAGTGTTGGAGAAACTTACCCAACCAGTTGCACCCACTTGACCTTGTATGCATGCGAGCAAGCTTTGGCTTTGCACATGTCAACCTCCACTTGTGATCGGCTCTCCTTGCTCCAAGTACGTCGACTTATTTGTGTGCCTTGCTAGCACCTCGCTCGTGCCCTAGCTGCTACTCACTCTCTGCTTCTCTCTATCCCTTCCCATCTCTGTCTTTCTCTTAAATAAGCATGAGAAATTTGAGTTTATATGTCCCATAATATTCGAAATTAGAGAAATATTCTTGTAATTTTATTTTTTGGGAAATATGGCTGAAAGTTTTTTTGGACCAAAATGCCTCTGAAATTCAAAGAGACGCTCTAGTTTGTATTAGCAACCTTTTGTGTAAGAAATTGATGACCCCTCCTATTCTCAATGCCTTATTTGTCAATTCTCATTTGCTGGTGATTGTTTTGAGTCAAAATTTCAATGCAACATTTTTGTTTCCATCTCCGATTAGCCAGTGATTATCATTGAATGTTAGTGATTGATATATTGGCAATCTGAACCTGCAACTTAGAAATATATTAGATAACCAGTTTTGAACAGTGCTCAAAGCTTATTGTGACATTGATTGATACATGTTCAATATATGTTTGAACATGCTTCGAAGATTATTTAAAGAATGTTTGTATTTCAAACTAGGATTGAATAATAGTCGAATAAGCATCAATCATATGCCAAGCATGGTTCAATCAAGGTCAAAATAAGTTTTGAGTAATATTTAAAACAAGTTTTAAGTAATAGCTGAATTAGCTTTGATCAAGTTCTAAACAATAGTCAACTATTTGATCATGTGCTCTATAAGATTCGAGCTAAGTTCAAATTTATTATTTTTGCATTATTTGAGCTATCTTGCTATGCATGTAGATATATGCTTAGATTACATATGAATATGGGGGTGTCATGGAAAAAATTGTTAGACAATTTGAATAACTTAAGATTAGTCACATTGTTGTTTTGAATATGAGAGACAAACACACAACATTTGAATGTGCATATGCCTACTCTTATACCTGTAGAGAGCCATAAAATGTATTTAAGTTGATTGGTTGCTTTCAATAGATTTATTATTGCTTTCATTAGATGTGCTACTGAAGATCAATGCAAAGCTTAGGTCATAGGTGTCTTAAATTCACAATTACAAATTTAAAATACATATGCTATTGCTTGATGAAATCGACTTCAATTCTGATGATCTTCAACAGCATATTTATAATGATATATATATATATATATAATCAGATTTGGTCCCTTATAAATGTAATTAGATTTGGACAATTTATAGCAATTCGTATATGTATGTATGTGTTTATGTCTGTGTGTGTGTATATATATAATTAAATTTGGTCACTTTATAGTGATATAGATGTGATTAGATTTGAGCACTTTATGATATAGTTGTGTTAAAACTTAAAAATATTGTAATTGTATTCAATTGTATCGAAGTTTTTGTCTATTGTGTTTACACTATATTACTGTAAAATATTATTACTATTTTAATTCAATATTAAGTTTCTTGTTAAAATTGTCCTCTATGGAGTTTGTTTGATTGTGTTATAATTATTGTGATTGCATTATGTTATATTATACTCTATTGTTTAACAAATGCAAACTTTTGTGAACATTGAATGAATCTAATTTGAACTTGTCATTCAACTATTTTATATTTTTTTTTGGCATTACCTTATTCGAATCTTATTCAAATTATATTTGAACCTCGATCATTTTTTATTTTTTTTGAATAAGAATGATTGATGTTTCAATAATGTTTAAGGAATGTTCTACCATGGATCAAATTTTTATTGCATATGGGCTTAACATTGATCGAATTTTGTTTTAACTTTGTACGAATGTTATTTGAATTATATTTGGTTGCATCTGACTTAAAAATAGTATGCAGTCCACATCGGAGGCTTTTTGGTTTGAAGGAAATTTTTGGGCATATTTCTCCAATACACAAAACAACGTATATATTTCTACAATTTCGAGTATTATGGGGCATATAAACTCAAATTTCTCATAGGCATTAGCTCGCTTCAATTGTGATAAATTATAGGACACTTGTATGAACAAGTGTTGTGTGAAGTATGGTTTCGGTTATTGGCATTATTATTTAATTGTAATTAATATTAATTTGAATTATTATTTATTAGATAAAATTTTAGCTATTAAACAATAGTACTTTATCCACACTTAGCTTGGCATTTCACTCGAAAATAGACATGGAGCTTGTTATAACCTTCTAATGCCTTTCTTTGAATGGGATTAAGAATTGATTCTTACTGACTTTTATTAAGGATAGTTAAAGATTAATTAGAGTTTAAATGAGGATCATTAAATATTATTTATTATTATTTAATCACAATAATTGGCACTAGCATAACTAATTAATTGATTAATTATTCTGAATAATTGTTTATTACTCATTTTGCTTAGCTAATTAGTAATTTATGAGGTTTTTGTTAATATTATTAATAATTTATTTTTACTTAATTATGATAACTAATCCTAAGATAGTTAATTAGTAAACTTAGAGCAATTGGTAATTGAGGAATTGTTTAGGATAATAAAGGATTAATTAAAATTTCAATTAAATTATTATTATTTTTCTTAGTATGTACTTGTTTATTGGGATTGGAATTAATAATTTATTCATGAATAATAAAAGTAATTATCCAGACTAATTAGGGATTAATTAAGGTTTAATTATGATCATTAAATGAATCAGTAAGTCTTAATTTTTATAATTCAGTATGTTATAATTAGATTGCTAATTAATTAAACATATTAATTAAAGGTTAACTTTTTATTATGCTTAATCAGGAATTAATTACAATTTAATCAATATCATTGTGATTTAAAGTATTATTTGACTTTGATTTCCAACTAAATATATATTAGTTAAGAAGACTTAATTAGAATAATTATTATTTAAATTAGTTAATCATATATTAAATACTAATTTGTGCTAATTAAATATAGATTATTTCGAATTTTATTTTTCATTCTCATGCATGTTTTATATTTTCTATTTTTCAAAACAATAAATAAATAAAATATCCAAATATAGTTGGTTTTAAGTGAAAAAAAAAAAAAGAAACAAAGCCGGTTCAAACATAGCTTAAAGATTGCAAAATACTATTGGTATCCTCTATAAACTTTTTTACGTCATTAAACAGGGCCATGAGCTGTTTCATTTTATGGGTAAGGCCAAACCAGAAGCATTGGAATAAGGCTATTGATGATACTCATAATTATGTTACTGTTCTTTTATTTAACTTACCATGATCATAATGATGTTACTGTGCTTTTCTATAGGTTACCATGAATTATTTATGTGTTTTTTTTATCATCTTGGTCTTTTACAGGTTAGGTATCCAGATCGTATAACCCTGATTAGAGGAAATCATGAAAGCAGGCAAATCACCCAGGTTCATATTTAAATATTTTCTTGAAGTGGATCAATCTTTGATTCAGACGTTTGGCTAAAACTCCTCTTAATCAGGTATATGGTTTCTATGATGAGTGCCTCCGGAAGTATGGTTCTGTGAATGTTTGGAGATATTGCACAGATATTTTTGATTACTTGAGGTGCTGTATCTTATCTTTCTTTGTAATGCAATTGCATGAGCTTGGACTTTTTGTCTGCGTTGATACTTGATTATATTGATGCCTATATTTGTTTAAACTTTGAAGTCTTTCTGCGCTCATTGAGAATAAAATTTTTGGCGTTCACGGAGGTTTATCACCTAACATAACTACATTAGATCAGGTAATTTCTAGCTTCTCTTTTTCTCCTTTATCCAAATACGTTGGAGACTGATATTTTGACCATCTTATACAGATCAGAACAATAGACAGAAAGCAAGAGGTTCCACATGATGGGGCTATGTGCGACCTTTTGTGGTCAGATCCAGAAGATGTTGTTGATGGCTGGGGTTTAAGCCCTCGAGGTGCAGGATTCCTGTTTGGAGGGAATGTAGTCTCCTCGTTTAACCATTCAAATAACACCGATTACATATGTCGTGCACATCAATTGGTTATGGAAGGATACAAGTGGATGTTCAATAACCAGATTGTAACTGTATGGTCTGCCCCAAATTATTGTTACAGGTAATTTTTTTTCTGATAACAGTTTTAAAAGAGAAGCAGCATTAGCAATTTTTTCCTCAAGCTGAAATGATATGGGTACTTTTAGATGTAGAACTCGGAAAATAATCAATTTTACCAAAAATATTATCGAAGGCACACTCCAGGTTCACCTAGATACCCGTCGAGGAGAGGCGAGGCTTTTGTGCCTTACATTTCTCTCTGGAGGGCACTTTTTTCACGGCCCTACTTAGGCGTGGAAGATGCTAGGCAATGGAGCGCTTGCCTCTTCAATGCAAATTTTTTAATTATGATTTAAAAGTATATTTAACGATAATATGTTTAGGGGAATTATATTAAAGTAATAAGTACTATAAAATGTTTGAAAACTCTAAAAGCAGATATATATTGGATTATAAAAATTATATGTTCTTGTTTATGTGAAGTAAAACCATATGCTTGTAGGACTTGGCATGAGATGCGGATATCATTGATTCAATTTCTCTCCAAAAGATTGATGGTATTAATAAGTAGATGATTGGAGAGATGGGCGCTAATATCTTAAATATCAAAAGCTGAATTGGTTTTAATGATGAATATTTGGCATGGGTTTATGTAGAATGAGCAGTATGTGTTGGAGAAAAAGCTATTTTCACTATGAAGTATGCCAAATCAAATATGGGTGCAAGAGCTTTTAGTTCGAGTGTAGTAGATTTTGATGACGAGGACGATGAGACTTGGAGATAAAAGAAGAGCTAGATGGATACAATTTTAGCGATGGGGAAAAGAGTATAGGTGGTAAAGTTCTATTATTTTGATATTTGGTATGACATAAAACTTTTTTTTTTGTCTATTAGCGTACTAATGTAATCTAAAGATTATCATATTATACTTTTCGAAAGTATTCCTTATAAAGTAGGTGTACATTTTAGCGCTTAATTCCTTCAAGCAAACTTCAAGGCTAACGCCTAATGCCTTGGGCATTGGACAGCCATAATGCCTTGAAGGCACCTAGTGTTTTTAATAAGAATGCTGGATGATTAGATGATACTTACTAATGGCATCTAATGTGTCATATGCCATACATGAGAGAGAAAAAAAATGATAGCTTGCTGCATATGATATGGAAAAATGAAGTCCCTTTCCAAGTGTATGAGTTCTTCATACAGTTGCATGCTTGTTTAACCAGCACAACACATAATACCAAAGAACCCCACTCAACGCCTTACCCACCAACATGCAACCATCAAAAACTTGGAGAGAATCAATGCATATTGCACAAGTAATTATTAATTTTTTCTCTTCTATTTACACTTGGCCTACTTATTCTTCTTAATATTTTTTAGAGTTCTATTTCATTAAGAGTTCACATTGGACACTGCAACCTTATTTTGTCAGTGCTTTTTTATTTATGAGAAAAAGAATAAAGTGGTCATGAACCATTTGCATTGGGCCATTTTAGTCTCAAATTATATAATGTATTCACTTTAGTTTTTTAACTCTTCAAATATGTTCCAAAATAATCCTTTTTGTTGAATTATTTTGGATTATATTTGAGGAATCAAATGACTAATTAGACATATTCGATAGTTTAGGTCTTAAACGATCCCCCATACTTAGTATAGGGATCATTTTAATCTTTCGCTCTTTTACTTATGGCAAGAACTTCTATCTATTTGTTTTTTTTTTTCTTTTCCTGTGGGGGATTCGAAGGAAGACTGTGTTGCTTTGGTTTGTGATTATAGCTTTGGGATTAAGAAGCTGATGCCGAGGAAAAGCAACAAGGAGCCTTGTCTTTAGATGGAGATTGCTGAGGAGGTGCTGCAAATGTCATGACTGAGGAGTTCGTCTCTTGTGTTCTGTCGTTTAACAGTGATTTGAACTGTTGGAGGTAAGCTGCCAAGAACGAAGACTCAATTAGATAATTTGTAGTTGATGGCAAAATAGAGGTGGATTTTTATCCTAGTGTTGATCCGAAGAGTATGTAGGGGTAGATTTGGAGGCTAAAGAAGGAAAGTTTTCTTTTTTACCTTTGTGTGGGTTATCAAGAACATTAGAAGTTACAATTTTATTTGTTTCTAAGAGTTTATGAGCATTGCAAAAGGAGTGTAGTTGGTCTATGAAAGGGAGTAGTGAGAGCCAGACTCAAAAGAGTCGTCAACGAGATCCATGCCATAGAAGACACATAAGATCCCTAAGCCAAGGTATTGCTAGAAAGCATCAATGGAGGCATCAATGGAGAGCGTCAACGAAGAGTATTGATAAAAAAAGTCGATGAAGAGTATTGATAGGGAAGATTAACAGAGAGGTTAACATAACGAGGACAAAATTCAAGGAATCGAACAATAGTAGGTAAGTTGACAATTTAGACTCATGGGTGGGGCAGAGCAAGAGGCTTCAAGTGTTGTTTGTATTTTGAGGCACTCATTTAAACCCCATAATTGTGGAAATCAAGTGAGATGGGGATATTATTAGTATAATTCAAGTGAGATGGTTGAAGAGGAGGAATGCATCAGGCCTATCGTGTGATAGAAAATACCTCTCAAACTTAAGCAAAAATTCTATAAGTGGTGGTAAGACCTACAATACTTTATAATGCAAATTTTTGGCCCTTAAAAGAGAGACATAAAATTAAGTATTGTAGATGATAATGCTCAGGTGGATGAGTGAATTTATGCTTTGAGATATATTGTAAAATGTGTATATATGTGAAAAGGTTGGAGTAGCTCTAGTGGCGGATAAGATTAGTGAGAATCACCTTTAGATGGTTTGGTCACATAAAACATTGGCATTATGTGATCCGGTTAGGAGGGTTGATGTATTATATCTGACTTATATTAAGAAATGTAGATATAGTCCTAAAAAAATTTGGTTAGAAAGTATTAGAAATGACATTTTTTTATTAGATTTAAATGAGATTTTTACTCATTATAAGGACACAATGAAGAAAAATGATTCATGTAGCTGACCACACAGTGGGATAAATGCTTAATGTTATTGTTGTATCAATCTACACAGACTACACTTTGATCACTTACTATCTTCAGTCTGGTTGCCTAAGGTTGTAATAGTTCTGCCTACATGAGCACATCGTTAGGATTATGTTGATAAAAAGAACTTTAAGGTTGAGTGCATCTTCACATTAGCCCAATTCTCGTGGATACATCAGTGAGCACAGTTTGTGAGTACTCGATGCATCTTCTTCAACACATTTAAATAAAAAATTAGAGCACAGCTGCATGAGAATCATAGGTGATTGCTTTTCCTTCTCAGCTTTCAGTCCATATGTTGTCTTGGCTCTAAATGCATCCTTTCCAGCATGGCCATCTACCCATTACTATTTCTAGCCCTTGCGTCTTTTTTTCAATTCTACTATTTAGATCTTCCTATCCTCAGGAATTCGATGCTTCTTTTTCAATTCGATTCTTTTTAGTCATATGATTATCTTGTTTAATTGGTGGCGAATAATTGTGCACTAATTCAAAATTTATTAAATTACTTGTTTATTTAGATATTTAAAATTATTTGTTTATATGATAATTACATGGGAACTCATTTAATGCTTGTTTTCTTATGAGTTTGTTTATTAACTCTTTCAATTACTCTTCAGATTAATTTACATATGCAAGTTACAAGCCAAGCTCAATTATAGATAATTCTAAAAGTAGCCTAATATGAACATAACAAGTGAAAGCCTGGCTCGAGTTTGTGCTAAACTTGAACTTATAGTATGACTAAGCCAAAATCTGATTCATGATTTGCTTCGCTCGATCAACTTAATTACAATAATATATACTAACACCTATATGTACCTATAGATATAAACAAACTTATATATATATATATATATATATATATATATATGAGAGTAGATGCATTAGATCTTGTGATAAAATTGTGACATTAGGTGATCAAGTCATTAAAAAGAGTGTAAGCTTTAGATATCTCAAGTATGTTGTTCAAAATGATGATGAAATAGATTTGAGATATTTTTAGTAGAATTCAAGTTGAATGATTAAAGTGGAGGAATGCATCAGGTCTGTTGTGTGATAGAAAAGTTCCCATCAAACTTAGGGAAAATTTTATAAGATGGTAGTGCAAGCTGCAATGTTTTATAGCGTAGAATGTTGGCAATTAAAAGAGAAGCATAAAGTTAAGCGTTGCAAAGATGAGGATGCTCAGGTGGATCAGTGTCTTTACACTTAGGGACAAAATGCAAAAGGAATATATATGTGAAAGGTTGGAGTAACTTTAGTGGTAGATAATATTAGAGAGAATCGTCTGAGATGGTGTGGTCATATAAAATTTCGGCCTTTTAAGGACCCTATTAGGAGAGTAGATGCATTAGATCTTGTGATAAAATTGTGTCATTAGGTGATCAAGTCATTAAAAAGAGTGTAAGCTTTAGATATCTCAAGTATGTTGTTCAAAATGATGATGAAATAGATTTGAGATATTTTTAGTAGAATTCAAGTTGAATGATTAAAGTGGAGGAATGCATCAGGTCTGTTGTGTGATAGAAAGTTCCCATCAAACTTAGGGAAAATTTTATAAGATGGTAGTGCAAGCTGCAATGTTTTATAGCGTAGAATGTTGGCAATTAAAAGAGAAGCATAAAGTTAAGCGTTGCAAAGATGAGGATGCTCAGGTGGATCAGTGTCTTTACACTTAGGGACAAAATGCGAAAGGAATATATATGTGAAAGGTTGGAGTAACTTTAGTGGTAGATAATATTAGAGAGAATCGTCTTAGATGGTGTGATCATATAAAATGTCGGCCTTTTAAGGACCCTATTAGGAGAGTAGATGTATTAGATCATACCTATATTAAGAAAGGTAGATCTAGACCTAAAATGATTTGGTTAGAAAGATTAAAAATGATAGTTTTTTTATTAGATTTAAATGAAAATTTGATTCTTAATAGTACACAGTGGAGAAAATAGATTCATGCAGCCGACCTCACATAATGAGATAAAGATTTGTTGTTATTGTTGTTGTCATCTCTCAATGCTGTAGACCATTCATTAATCGCTTGCTTTAGCCCATCTTAGTAAACATATCTACATTCTTTGCTATAAATGATTTTAAAATTTTGACATGCATTCTTGTTTCACTTTTTTATAGATGTGGAAATGTGGCAGCAATTCTAGAGCTGGATGAGAACTTGAATAAGCAGTTTCGTGTTTTTGAAGCTGCTCCACAGGTTTGTACCTTGCAACCCTGCATTTTCATACCCCTTCCAAACATAATTGTGCTAATACGACCATCACCAAAATGCAGGAAGCAAGAGGGGTTCCTTCTAAGAAACCTGCCCCTGATTACTTCCTCTGAGCCAGAGATGAGAGATTTTATCTATCCACTCTTTAAAGCTGGCCTGAGCTCATTGGTTTTCGCCGGTGCCGCAGTGAGCTGATGCCTTGAGCCGGCAGTCTTACCGCATGCCATGGATGCCCCGATGCTGCAGTTATGTTGGTTTGGGCGTGCTAATTAGTTCCAATATGGTTCAGTATCAGAATTATGAAGTTGTTTGGTTGCAGGTGTAGAATCCCATGTGTTTTAGAACTGCTTTGAATTGAAGTTATTGGTTGGGAGTGAGGTTGGTCTTAGATTTCAGCTGGAAATAAGAATCCTGTTTTACTTTTTTGGGCGAGATTGTTCAGTAGGCTGAAGCTGAGTTGCTCAGTTTTGGCCCAGTGAGTCTTATTTGTTTCTATTCTTGGTATCCAGAGTGCGTCTGCACCGGATTTCATCTGATTTTTGCCCTATTTATATCTTTTAACTCTTTTTTTTTTTGTAATTTCTAAGATTCTTACAGTAGTGCTAGAATATTACCGTTGTTGGAACTTGTTTGTGTCATTTTATTCTCATTTATTTCTGTTGAGCGCCGTCTGAGTTGTTAGACCTATTTTCTACTAATTCTTTTGAACTACTATTCATATAATTTTTGTTCTAATCATTTTTCTCCATAATTTTCTGACTAATGATTCGTTGGGGACGGCTTTTTTATTATTTTTAAAACAGTTTTTTAGTATAAAATTAAATTTTTATACCAAAAAATCGTATTAGAAAGTAGTAAAAAAGCCATTTCAAACAAAACCTAAGTTTATCAACTTATCTAACAAGTGCATTTCTACCCTTCTTTTATGTCAGACTATCTGGAACTTTTATTATATCCAGTGAACGTACGCAGAGGAAGGTTCGGTTTTAGGCAAAAAAGTGTCTGTACTGAGTTTTTTGAAAAAATTCGGTACACCTCGGTACTTGGTACAGACACTTTTTTTGCCTAAATCCGAACGTTCCTCTGCGTACGTTCACTGGATAAAATAAAAGTTCGACTATCTGAGCCTAATTTCAATCATTATCTTTGAACTTTTATCTAATTTAATCATTCTTTAATTTGTTATTTCTAATTTTGTAAGAAATTCTTCGCTCAATTTAGATCTAAATGATTTTTTTAGCCCACTTGGATACATATAATAGATTTGGTTTAATTATAGATTTATAAAATTTATCTTTTAAACAAAAATGGTATACTCTTATCACACAAACTTTTAGAGATATTATATTTAACCATCTAGTCTTAACTTTAGAAGTTATATATTTTTATTTATATCTTCATTTTTAATATAAAAAATATATAATATTTAAATTTATTATATTTATGTGTCACCTTATATTTTAATAATATTGAATGATAATGGTTGTCATGCCATTAAAATTACATATTTTATGTGTTCTACTAATTTGAATGCCTATATTTTTTTTGAAATTGCTCTTCATCATGATTACATTATCTTTACTTTTAATACATCTAACTTGTTTAAATCTTATTTTATTTGTTATATTATGTTTCTGTATTGTTTTGGATGCTATTTTATTTTATTTCATAATAAAGATTCCGTTTTATATAATTAAATGTTGTAGAGATGAGGATGCTCATGTGGATGCGTGGATTTACTTTTAGAGACAATGCTGAAAATGTTTGAGTAGCTAGTAGCGGATAAGATTAGAGAGTTACCTTAGATGGTTTGGTCACATAAAATGTTGGCCATTCCATAATCTTGTTAGGAGAGTAGATGTATTAGATATGACCTATTTTAGGAAAGGTAGATGTAGTCCTAAAAAAGACTTGGTTAGAAAATATTAGAAATACCCTTTTTTATCATATTTAAAGAAGAATTTAACTAACATGACACAATGGAGAAAAAAAATTCATGTAGTCGACCCCTCGTAGTAGGATAAAGGGTCAATGTTGTTGTTGTTGCATAATAAAGATTCTATTTTTTGCAGTTTGGTTATGTTTGATTTGATATAGTGACGAAAATGCAAACTTAGAGCATATGAGATAACATTTCTCATTTTAATTTTTTTGAATGTGATTGTTTTTGTTAAAATGGTCTAACAATTTTTTTTTTTGGGAGTAAGATTTATGAATTAATTTATGAAGAGAATACTTTTTTTTTTAAATAATTTAAGCTCCTAATGAGCTGTTGTGTCATTTTGTTTTTCAACATACGAGATATAATATTTATGTAAGCTATAAAATGCTCTAACAAGTCACACGAGTGATGATTTAGGGTCTGTTTGGGACAACTTTCTAGTTGTTTTGCTTTTCGGATAATCATACTTTCATTTGGCTTTAACTTTCTTTCTCACTATTTTTTAAAATTTTATGTGATAAAAATGTACTTTCTACAACTTTAGTAGCGAAATTGTTTTCTCTACAACAGCTTTAACAAACTTATAAAATATTGCAGTCGTCCCAAATAAACCATTATGCACAAATTTAAGGAACCAAAACAACTCTTATTAAAGTAGGAGCTATGGAATTTACAGACAATCATTAATGTCGATAAGTTCATATATTCAAATCAATGCAAGCTCAAAAATCGCTTGGGCATGCATATTAAGTTTATGTTGATGACATAAGCTAAATACAAGCTCAAATATGTACAATTCCTAACTTTAGAGAGTGATGAATAATGAGATTTTAATGGGTAATTTGAGCCTATATGTTGGTCAATTGTACTTGTTTGTCTTATTGGATATATATCCTTGAAAATTTATTTCATATGAAATTACCTTCAATGATAGATAATTTGTTGTAGTCGGAGGCTATTCATTGTACTCAAGTCATTTGAAACTAGTTTGAACCAATTCAAATTTGAACTTGGTTTGAAAACCAAGTTCAAAGAGTAGGGATGGTATTGTGGTGATGGAGAAGAGGAGTTTGTATGGAAAGAATTACAATATTGATGTCATGCAAAGGGGAAGAGGTTGCAGTGAAGTCATCATAAGATTGTTGACATGTGAAGAAGAGTTGGTAGGTAGGCATTAGTGGAATGGCGACATCTACGATGGAGCATCTAAGATAAGCTTGCCGGGTTGTTGATATGTGTGAAGAGGAATTTATGAGGGAAGGCATTGCAAGACCAGTGTCACGCGAAGGAGAATAGGATGTTGCGATGAAGGCATTATGGACTTGGCGGTGTGTGAAGGATAATAGGAGCTCATAAGAAAGGTATCACAAATAAACAATATGTAAATGAGAAGAAGAGCTTGTGGGAATGTGTTTAACAATGAGAATGATGTTTGTACCTTTTTTAAAACTCAAGTTAGTTATCCTTAACCAATCACAGACCCCTATAGAGGCTAATCAAACCCTTGAATTACATTTAAGCCTAGGTGGACCTGGTCAAGCCCAAATTAGTTATTTTACAACATAACTTAACCTAAGTGGACGTAAAGGTTAAATTGATCTATTCCATTGTTGAATTAGACTTGGCTTTAACTCTAGGTGAATCTAATAAATTTAAAGACCCATCACCTATCATAACTTTTGTAATTAAACCCACTTTGATGGGTTAACCAATGTTGACCCAGTTACCCTTTTTACCACTTTGGCTATCCAATGGGAATTAGACTTAGCTTTACTTTGGATGAATCTAACTAATTTTTACCACTTTGGGTCTTCAATGGGCCATTAAGCCCACTCGATTTGAATTGGACCTATGGAGCTTAATTGGACCCAAAATCCATACGAATCTTTCCAAACAAGTTTAGCCTAAATGAACTATCAACAAAATTGGTTGTTTTGAGCACATCTCAAGTTAATTGGACTCCTTAGACCGACTCAGCTTAAATTGAGCCCACATGTAGCTCCAATTCAACCCCTGGTTCCTACTTGGTTGAACCCTTAGTCTAACCATATGCTTATGGTCATCCCCAACTCGAGGTGTAAGCTCACAAGACCACTCCATGTTTCCTCCTCTAGCAAGCTGACCTCCTAAGGATATTCTTTGGCCACTTTGAAGAAACATGCTGATCTTATTTTTATGAATAGGTTGATTTAGTCATAGTCTTGTTAGATTAAGCCTTATATAGTGTGATGCCCCATAATTTAACAGAAGAATTAAATCCCTAAACCTAAATTGTAACTCAACTATAATACATAATAAACCAAAGCTAACTATAAAATCTAAAATAATAAATGCAATATAAACATCATCCAAGTTTCATTTCTCAAAACTAAGATAAAATATTCTAGCTTCCATGCAAACTATACATCAACAGAATTAATATTGGATTATAAAAGAACACCTCAAATGAACCAGATGACGTTGTATTTATCACTCTGTACTTCACTGGGCCCTTCTTTTTCTTTTTGAAATATGAAAAAAATATAATAGAGCGAGCACCATTAACTCAGTGGACTTCTTTCATAATCCCATCATAGATATAAATATCCATTTAAATATTAAGAACTAAATTTTCAAATAATTAATTGATTAATAAAGTATAACTTAAATGCTAATAGAAAGTAAAATCTTCACAACTATCAAAATGTACTTGGTTTCTAAGTCCTTACTTGCACTTCCATAAGGAACTTCATAGAGGTTTAAAAATATACTTGCTTTTAGAACATTTTTTGCACTTAAACCTTCTTATTTCATCAGAATGTACCCTGAGGTTACAGAGTAATCAAAGAATGTTCAAAAATATCATTTTTATTGCATTCATATGCAATGCACGAATATAATGCATATGTCCCAATGCCTGCTTATTACTCCACTTTCACTTCCACTAACAACTCCCTTTCTCACCTCCCACACCCTCTTATAATAAGTGGTGCCAGAACATAAAAGAATAACCTCCCATACCCACATACAACAAGTGGGGATAAAATTCTCTCACATTTACATAATATAGTTGAGCTCATATTACAACATTAAAAAGTTCTTATATCATTTAAGAGAGTGCACTATCACATTTAAGAGATGAAAAATTTTCTAATGCCATGCCATGAATTATACAAGTTTATGCTTAAGTAGAGTATTAAAACCAACATATGATTATGATAATATATGAACTACTCGAATTATCAGAATTAATCCACATTGGATGTGTAAATACCGACACACGAAATCTTTTTTTCTTTTTAATAATACTTTCATAGGAATAACCAAAATAATATTTTAATAATTTCATATAACTATTATGAAAATCAAGAATATATCATTTGTTAAATACACATAAAAATTATCATAATGAAAATTAATCGATGAAAATTTAACTTCTTATAATCAAAGTGTCTAAAATAAAGTATACAATAATATACAAAAAGTTACAGGTGAAAATAGCATAAAACTCAAGGAAAATATATTTTATCCATAAATTATTATATAATTATTGGAATTTAAATCATAGATAGGTGTTTATAATTCTATGTAGTGCTCTACAAAATTCTTAACTAGCCTAGTGGATGAATACAATGTTTTGGCCTCTAGATCTCTCTCTCTCCCCATCTCCCCAACTCTCTCATAAAATATTCCAAAAGCTTTCAGATGCCTTAAACTTGAGATTTGATACAAATCTT